AGGAGGAATGCTTTCAATGTCTTGTTAACGACATATGACTATGTTTTAAAAGAGAAGTCTCTTCTTGGAAAGGTATACAAATTGCTTGTTTAATGGGACCTTTTTCCGAGAAAAATTCAATTCTATGGAAACTCTTGATTCAATTATTTTCTCCTCTTTCTATGTTGAATTGAAGGAAACATCTGGGTATTAAATTCTGTACGGATTCTCTAGATTCGTTGGAAGTACATGATTATTGATGAAGGTCACCGAATGAAGAATCACAATTGCAAATTAACTTTGGTTTTAAATGGGTATTTTACTGCTCAGCATCGTCTTCTTCTGACTGGGACTCCACTGCAAAATAAATTGCCAGAGCTTTGGGCTCTTTTAAATTTTCTTTTACCTTCTATCTTCAGCTCTTGTGGCACTTTTGAACAATGGTATTTATTTTTTGAGTAATTTACAGCGTTATAGCTTTCTAGTTGATAGTTTCCCGGTGCATTGTAAATATAGTTTCAAACCTTTTGTATGTTGTTATATTTCTGAAGTCTCTTTCAGGTTTAATGCGCCATTTGCTACGACCGGTGAGAAAGTGGAGTTGAACCAGGAGGAAACCATGTTGATCATTCGGCGTCTCCACAAAGCATGTATTTTGAAATATTCGCTGTTCTGTCGAGTTTCTTCGGAAATAGTTCACTAGCTATTGTCACTTCAATTCATCAATAAGTAAAAATAAATTTTGTTTTTAGGTTTTACGGCCATTTTTGCTTCGCCGTTTAAAGAAAGAAGTTGAAAGTCAACTTCCTGAGAAGACGGAATATGTTTTGAAATGTGATATGAGCGCTCTGCAAAGGATTTTGTACCAACACATGCAGAAGGGGCTTTTGATTGATAGCAAACATGTATGTATATTGCTTTCCAGTTTAATTGATATTTACTAAAATGTTTGAAGAAATCTCTTGTCAACTTCCCAATTTTTACATTACGGCTTTCCGGAATTCATTTTTTCTTCTCACGAAATCATTGTTTGAACGTAATTTTATGTTTATTTACTGCCTTTAGAAATTTGTTGAGTTTATTGATCGTCTATTTCTTTAGGCTGGAGGAAGAGCTCTTATGAACACAGTTGTTCATCTGCGAAAACTGTGCAATCATCCTTTCCTGTTTGAAAATGTGGAGGATGAATGCCGGGAATTTTGGAAAATACCAGAGATTACTGGGTTTATATTTATTTCATTACTAGATAATACTATTGTTGGTGTTAACTGTCCCAATCAGTGTCGCTAAATAGAGTTTTTGTAATCCAGTAGCTTTTATCAAAATACTGGACTGGAGCCGTAATTTTTGAGGTTTACTATATTTGCAATTGTATTTAGAAAAGAACTGTATCGAGTTAGTGGCAAATTTGAGTTGCTTGATCGAGTTCTGCCAAAACTTAAGGCTTCTGGTCATCGTGTGCTGATGTTTTGTCAAATGACTTCATTGATGACAATCATGGAAGACTACTTTAATTATAGAGGCAAATATTTATCAATTTTATATAGCTGTGTAGCTGAAGTGAAGTACAGAATTTTTCTTTTAAACTTGGAAATTTGGCAAGTGCAATTATTTTTACTTATTAAGTTTTGATTTAGAATATAAGTATTTGCGGCTTGATGGCAGTACTAAGCCTGATGAGCGAGGACAACTGCTTTCACTTTTTAATGCTCCGAATAGTGAATACTTTATATTCATTTTGTCAACTCGTGCTGGTGGTCTTGGTTTAAATTTGCAAACTGCTGATACAGTCATCATTTTCGATTCTGATTGGAATCCACATCAAGCAAGTTTTTTTTTACTTACTTATGACGTTGCCACTGGAATAAAACTTCGTTTTGTCACTTTCTGCAATCACGTTTTCTACTTCTTTTTGAATGAAATTGTTTGAAGGATATGCAAGCACAAGATAGGGCACACAGAATTGGACAGTCACGTGAAGTCCGTGTACTGCGACTGATAACAGTCAATAGCATAGAGGAGAAAATACTCGCAGCTGCTCGTTTTAAATTAAATGTCGATGAAAAAGTGATTCAGGCGGGGAAGTTTGACCAGAGGTCAACGGGAGCGGAAAGGAGACAGATTTTGGAACAGATTATTAGGCACTTGTTTCATTTCGTCTTTGTTTATTTCATATTTTTAAGGTTTTCATCCGCAGTAGCATTTGTTCGCTGTTTAAATATTCTGTGATAAATAATCTGGTGAATTTTAGAGCTGAAAGTGAGGATGATGATGAAGATGAAGTATTTGATGACGAAACGATCAATCAAATGGTCGCTCGTTCAGAAGAAGAATTTAATCTTTTTCAAGTATGATTTTCAATTACTGGTGTTTATTTCGTTTTTCATGTGTAATTATTTCGCTTCTTGTTTTTAAACTGCTTTTTGTCAAAGCTATAGAAATCAGAAGTTTTAAGAAAATGGACATTGAACGTCGTCGTCAAGAGGCTGCAGAAACACGACGCAAGCCTCGACTGATTGAGCATGATGAGATACCAGAAGGAATTGTAAAAGCTTCCCAGCACTTTATGGAGGAGGAGAAAGAACCTATGAGAGAGCGCTTGCTAATTCAGACAACCGGACGTAGGAAGCGAAAGGAAGTTGACTACTCTCAGGTCGTGTAGACGCCTTCTATTTCTGGTTTCTTTTCGCTTGTTTGTGAACTGAGTTTGATAATTTTAGGATTTAATGTCTGATCGAGATTGGTTAAAAAGCATAGATGAAGACTTGGACGATGATGACGATGACGAGGAAGAAGAAAAGAAAAAGAAGCGAAGTAAAAAGGACCGGGGAAAAAGAAAACGACAGCAAGGTACAGTTTTTTGATCTGGTATTCAATTAAAAGTGCGAGTAGGCTTGTTTATTGTTTTTTCTTTAGAAGTATGAAAATTTCTTTTTAGTTTAAATGATTTGTTTCTTTTAGATGACGACGACGATGACGCTCCGAAGCGAAAAAAACCGAATCCTGAACTAACTTCCACGTTAAATAAACTTTATGAATCCCTTCTCGCGTACAAGACTAGGTTTCTTACTTTTTTTGTGCGTTTACACCATTTTACACCACCCCTGTTGTTCGTGCGCTGCGATTACTGCTAATATTTTTCAGCAATGGACACGCTGTAGCTGCAGCTTTTGAACAACTGCCAACTAGAAGGGAGCTTCCTGACTACTATGAAGTTATAGAAAAGCCAATGGATTTCAATAAAATGAAAAGGAAAATTAAAGATGGTCGTTACTCAAATGTGCAAGAAATGGGGAACGATTTGAAATTGCTCTGTGAAAATGCGCGAGTATGCGGTCACTTGGCTTAACATAAAACCGAAAAGCGTACTTACCCGAACTTTGACTTGTCACAGTGTTTAAATTGTTAACTAAATCTGTTTACAGTTTGGTTCTGTATCTTTTCAAAGTTTATGATCCAAGTTCCACTGTCTTATTGTTTTATATGCATTTTTTTGATTACAGAAATACAATATCGATGGTTCCGAAATATTCAATGATTCGTTGTTATTGGAACGCGTTTGGGAGCAGTTGTGTGGTGAAGACCACTATCGTTCCAGTGAGCCTGAAAACGTTTCGAAACCACCCGAACCAACTCGTCCACCAAATGTAACTGCGAACAAGAGTAGCCCGACTGGAAATGAGGAAAAAGTTGCTTATCAAAAGCTTTAAAGACTATGTAATAAGAGAGAAAACCTTGATTTTTTAGTTTGAACTTATTTTCAATCTTATATAAAGAAAATGGGAAATGGTAGGAGCTATTCTATTCGCAGATACAATAGTTTAAACAGATGAAACATGCGGTCCTTTTAATTTTAGAAAATCTTTATACGTTAGATTAATAGTTATGTTTTGCAAGCAAGCTGTAGGCTATTATAGACCGATTGAATTCGTCGTTTTTACAC